ATATTAGACACTACTATATTAGACTAGAAACTACTATATTAGACACTACTATATTAGACTAGAAACTACTATATTAGACTAGAAACTACTATATTAGACTATATTAGACTAGAAACTACTATATTAGACTATATCAGACTAGAAACTACTATATGAGACACTACTATATTAGACTAGAAACTACTATATTAGACACTACTATATTAGACTATATTAGACTAGAAACTACTATATTAGACACTACTATATTAGACTAGAAACTACTATATTAGACTATATCAGACTAGAAACTACTATATTAGACTATATTAGACTAGAAACTACTATATTAGACTATATCAGACTAGAAACTACTATATGAGACACTACTATATTAGACTAGAAACTACTATATTAGACACTACTATATTAGACTATATTAGACTAGAAACTACTATATTAGACACTACTATATTAGACTAGAAACTACTATATTAGACTATATCAGACTAGAAACTACTATATTAGACGAGAAACTACTATATTAGACTAGAAACTACTATATTAGACTATATTAGACTAGAAACTACTATATTAGACTAGAAACTACTATATTAGACACTACTATATTAGACTAGAAACTACTATATTAGACTAGAAACTACTACATTAGACACTACTATATTAGACTAGAAACTACTATATTAGACACTACTATATTAGACTATATTAGACTAGAAACTACTATATTAGACTATATTAGACTAGAAACTACTATATTAGACTAGAAACTACTATATTAGACTATATCAGACTAGAAACTACTATATTAGACTAGAAACTACTACATTAGACACTACTATATTAGACTAGAAACTACTATATTAGACTATATCAGACTAGAAACTACTATATTAGACACTACTATATTAGACTAGAAACTACTATATTAGACACTACTATATTAGACTAGAAACTACTATATTAGACTAGAAACTACTATATTAGACTATATTAGACTAGAAACTACTATATTAGACTATATCAGACTAGAAACTACTATATTAGACACTACTATATTAGACTAGAAACTACTATATTAGACACTACTATATTAGACTAGAAACTACTATATTAGACACTACTATATTAGACTAGAAACTACTATATTAGACTAGAAACTACTATATTAGACACTACTATATTAGACTAGAAACTACTATATTAGACTATATCAGACTAGAAACTACTATATTAGACTAGAAACTACTACATTAGACACTACTATATTAGACTAGAAACTACTATATTAGACTATATCAGACTAGAAACTACTATATTAGACACTACTATATTAGACTAGAAACTACTATATTAGACTAGAAACTACTATATTAGACTAGAAACTACTATATTAGACACTACTATATTAGACTAGAAACTACTATATTAGACTAGAAACTACTATATTAGACTATATTAGACACTACTATATTAGACTATATTAGACTAGAAACTACTATATTAGACTATATTAGACACTACTATATTACACTATATTAGACTAGAAACTACTATATTAGACACTACTATATTAGACTATATTAGACTAGAAACTACTATATTAGACTATATTAGACTAGAAACTACTATATTAGACTATATTAGACTAGAAACTACTATATTAGACTATATTAGACTAGAAACTACTATATTAGACACTACTATATTAGACTAGAAACTACTATATTAGACACTACTATATTAGACTATATTAGACTAGAAACTACTATATTAGACACTACTATATTAGACTATATTAGACTAGAAACTACTATATTAGACTATATTAGACTAGAAACTACTATATTAGACTATATTAGACTAGAAACTACTATATTAGACACTACTATATTAGACTAGAAACTACTATATTAGACACTACTATATTAGACTATATTAGACTAGAAACTACTATATTAGACACTACTATATTAGACTATATTAGACTAGAAACTACTATATTAGACTATATTAGACACTACTATATTACACTATATTAGACTAGAAACTACTATATTAGACACTACTATATTAGACTATATTAGACTAGAAACTACTATATTAGACTATATTAGACTAGAAACTACTATATTAGACTATATTAGACTAGAAACTACTATATTAGACTATATTAGACTAGAAACTACTATATTAGACTAGAAACTACTATATTAGACACTACTATATTAGACTATATTAGACTAGAAACTACTATATTAGACACTACTATATTAGACTATATTAGACTAGAAACTACTATATTAGACACTACTATATTAGACTAGAAACTACTATATTAGACTAGAAACTACTATATTAGACACTACTATATTAGACTAGAAACTACTATATTAGACTAGAAACTACTATATTAGACTATATTAGACTAGAAACTACTATATTAGACTATATTAGACTAGAAACTACTATATTAGACACTACTATATTAGACTATATTAGACTAGAAACTACTATATTAGACACTACTATATTAGACTAGAAACTACTATATTAGACTAGAAACTACTATATTAGACACTACTATATTAGACTAGAAACTACTATATTAGACTAGAAACTACTATATTAGACACTACTATATTAGACTAGAAACTACTATATTAGACTATATTAGACTAGAAACTACTATATTAGACTAGAAACTACTATATTAGACTAGAAACTACTATATTAGACACTACTATATTAGACTAGAAACTACTATATTAGACACTATTAGACTAGAAACTACTATATTAGACACTACTATATTAGACTAGAAACTACTATATTAGACTATATTAGACTAGAAACTACTATATTAGACTATATTAGACTAGAAACTACTATATTAGACACTACTATATTAGACTAGAAACTACTATATTAGACACTACTATATTAGACTATATTAGACTAGAAACTACTATATTAGACGAGAAACTACTATATTAGACTAGAAACTACTATATTAGACACTACTATATTAGACAGTACTATTTTAGACTAGAAACTACTATATTGGACTATATTAGACGATATTAGACACTACTATATTAGACACAACTATATTATATTAGACTAGAAACTACTAAATTAGACTAGAAACTACTATATTAGACACTACTATACTATATTAGACACTACTATATTAGACTATATTAGACACTACTATATTAGACTGCAAACTACTATATTAGACACTACTATATCAGACACTACTATATTAGACTAGAAACTACTATATTAGACTAGAAACTACTATATTAGACACTACTATGTTAGACTAGAAACTACTATATTAGACTATATTAGACACTACTATATTAGACTAGAAACTACTATATTAGACACTACTATATTATGTTAGACACTACTATACTATATTAGACGAGAAACTACTATATTAGACACTACTATATTAGACAGTACTATATTAGACTATATTAGACACTACTATATTAGACTAGAAAGTACTATATTAGAAAACTACTATATTAGACACTACTATATTAGACGAGAAACTACTATATTAGACACTACTATATTATGTTAGACACTACTATACTATATTAGACGAGAAACTACTATATTAGACTATATTAGACACTACTATATTAGACATAGAAACTACTATATTAGACACTACTATATTAGACCAGAAACTACTATATTAGACAGTACTATATTAGACTATATTAGACACTACTATATTAGACTAGAAAGTACTATATTAGAAAACTACTATATTAGACTATATTAGACACTACTATATTAGACGAGAAACTACTATATTAGACACTACTATATTATGTTAGACACTACTATACTATATTAGACGAGAAACTACTATATTAGACTATATTAGACACTACTATATTAGACGAGAAACTACTATATTAGACAGTACTATATTAGACTATATTAGACACTACTATATTAGACTAGAAAGTACTATATTAGAAAACTACTATATTAGACACTACTATAATAGAAAATAACTATATTAGACACTACTATACTGTTTTGGGTGAGAGGAGCTTCAAGGTCCAGAGTCTGTGGCTGCCCCAAGAATGTCCTTCATTTCTGTGAAAACAACAAAATTTAAACTTGAACTGAAGACGTGAAGGCAAACTCTGCTAAACATCGTGATGTGTGTGTGTGAGTGAAATAAAGGTGTTGTTTGTACACAGCAGTGCCACTTTGATAATATGATCAACAGCAGTCCTCCTGCAACTATCAAACATAAAGTAAATCAGCAGTTTTAAGTTGCATTAGCTTCCAGTTGAACCATGGTTCAGAAGACCGAAACATTAGTGAGCCAGTAAATGTACCAAAGTAATCAGAGTAATAGTAAATTGATTACTGTAACCTCCCATCTGTTATATTCTTTATACACATCAGTTTACTGAGACCATGGAAACTTACCCTAATGAGGCTGAAACCTGCCTGGAAAACTTTATAACAGTAACTTGCTCATGTAGTTCAACTGCTCAGTAACCAACTGTAAACTGTACTGCATCCATATTTCATAGTAAGTCTGATATTTTAACTTGAAACATTTGTCAGACAATTGTTACCAAAGTTAACCTTCAGATATTTGTAAAAGCTACAGTTGTGTTTTAACCCCTTTTAAATACTGTATATATATATATATATATATATACACATACACATACACACACTGAATATTGTATCATTTATATTATATATTATGAAATGTATCTGTCATAATAAAGTTTGACTGTGAAACAGAAATGTGTGGTGTTGCTTACATTTACTACAGAGTTACTAGTAAATCTATTTCCATTGTCATTTTGATAGAGATTACATGGAGCAGGATTTCAACTGTTCTACATGCAGGAAATTAAATAAGTTTTTTATAAAACCTCTGAAATAACATGTAATTTATATAAACCCATACTTATTACTGAATTTAAAAATGACCAAAAGTCTCCTTAAAAATAAAACACTTTATTCATGTTTCATTCAAATTTACAGTTACACAGAAATATAAAGTGTGTGTATAGTGCAAGTAACAAAGCTCTAACTTTAATGTGAGCTGTGCAGATCGTGTCCTCCATCAAGGTTTATGGTTTCTAGTATACTGCAGTGTGAGCTGGTAATGGAGCTCTGCGGTCAGTGTTCATCCTGATGAGTCTTCCTTTGGATACACAGACTGTCCTGATGCTGCAGCTGTCACTGTCCTCTGATGGGTCCAGGAACACCTGAGCTTCATCAGGTCACTCAGATCACCTGTAAAACATGGCAGATTCACTGTTACTTGTAAGACAGTATATAATACAGTTACTGATAAGAATGAAAAGCTCATAAATACAGAACAAGGAAGTCAAAACTTACAGCTTCAAAGTGTGAAGTTGGGTCACAGACAGTCCGTCTCGTCCATGAGCTGGTCCTCCTTTGAGAAAGCAGTTGCGGTCCTTGTGGAAACATTACAAAATAAATAGTTATCAGAAATAAAATATATATCTTCCTCTGATGATTGGAGGACATGCAGACTGCTGTGCTGGTCCGTGCAGCAAACATCAGCCAGGGCTGGCAGGGCAAACATGGCAACAAAGGCAGCTCTTCTCCGTGGGGAGGAGGTACTACTCAAATTAATCAGATTCTTACATAGTAAGGGGAGCAAAATCTGAGGCTGTCACAAACCTCGTCTTTTTGTGGGTATTCAGTATATACACAGTTTTCAACATTATTCTTTCTAAGCTCTGATGCTGACAATGTATGTTTGCTGGCCTCCAACCCTGTGGAGATGCTGCATGGCTTAGCTGAACATGTGGTCTAGATAGCTTGATTAGCACAGTCAGAATGAACACTGAACCAACCAACCTACCAATGAGAGATATCCACTCACTTAACATGCAACACAACTGACAATAAAAGTAAAAATCAGACAATAACAAACTTCTTTTGTTTCATTTAGTCAACATTAGGACTGGAAAGTGGACCAACCTGAAGACTCATCAATAGTTCCCACAGAGCGTATCACCAGCAGTCCTCCTGCAACCATCAAACACAGAATAAATCGGCAGAACTTTGAGTTGCATTAACTTCCAGTAGAACCATGGTGCACAGTCAAAGCAACCTCAGTGTATGAAATAAAAACCAACCAAACCATTTGGACCAATAAAGTATCTTTAAGTTTTAAAAAGCTGTTTTTCCATTAGTTTTCTTTTTTTAAGTTGTATATTTTAAATAAAGTTTTTTTTGTTTTAAATTGTTTTTTATCCTGAACTAACCTGAGTAGCTGAAAGATATTTTTTTCTCCTTATTAATCCTCCGCTACGGGGCACTGAATGTTAACATTCAATTACAGTTTTGTAGCTGATATAATGTGAATTTTACATTTTACTCACTTTGCTCACATCTCAGACAGAAATTAATGTTGTACTTTTCCCTCTGCGCTGCCGCCGTAACACCTGAGCGTTGTTTTACCGCAGGTTAAGATTTACAGCAGCCAGCGTACAGACTTCACATGACAATATTCACAACTTGAACTAATTTTAATGAAACCCATAATTTTGATCAGTGGACCCTTACGGAATAAAGGAATATGAATAATTAAGGAATGGACACAGACTGTATGGTACAGACTTTATGACCGCTTCAGAGGTTATTAGTCAGCCCTTAATCCCCCGTCTCTCTTATTTACAGTGCCGGTAAGTCTGAATGAATTGTACTTGTGCTCATAGTTTCCATAAAGTTAACCCAACTACATTGTAGAGAATCGTACTGATCTAACTATATAAAGCATCCATATTGACAAAGGTTTTGATTGATAAGAATTTAAATCTAATATAATAAGGTTCAGTTCGATCAAGAGCTCCCTCCAGTGGTCAGAGTGAAGAACTGCAGCACTGTACAACACTTAACATTAATTAATATTAAAGCAGTTCATTAGTGTTACTGAATTGCTGTTTATTTCTTTGAAGTTATTGTTGATTACTGATAAACATTAACGTTACCCATAATGTTTGACATACATTTTCACTCATTTCATTACACATGCAGGTGAATTACATTTGGATCTACTGTGCTACTATAATGGGTAAACAGTACAAACACCGTTTTCTACGTTATTCCCTCGAAGCTCTGATGTTTGGATTTTTAACAAAAATGAAACAACAGTTTCACTCACTCTGTCTGGAAAGACTGCAGTGTTTCTGTGTCTCCAATTCACCAGCACCCCCTGGAGGCAGGAGAGAGAGTGCAGGTGATTAGTACAGACATGGAGCCAGATAGGACATTATCCAGCTGTACTCTATATAATTCATCAAAGCTTTTAAACAAGAAACAATTATATCATACTAATGATTTTGCTAATTTCTAGATGCCAATACACAGCTGTTAAGTGACAGCGTGCCACTGTAGTTTCTGAGTCAGTACCTGCAACAGGTTTGTGTAAAAGGACGTGAAGACAAACTCTACTGTTAAACAGCCTGATCCTGAATCAGTGAAGTCTGCAGTTAAAACAAGATAAGAGAGACGAGCTGTTTGCTTTGTTGGGCGCTGTAGTTGAATGCATTTCCAACATCTGAATTTGAAATAAGAAAGGCAAATTAACAAAAACATTACATATTAAAAGGTGAGTTAAGAGATTGTTGGTAATGCTCAATTCTAATCCAATCCAATAATACACTGCTCGCTCTCCTCTGTGTGTTTGCACACAGCCGGGCTCTGTAAGCGGGATAGGAGCCAGGTTGATCTGGATTCTCACCTCCCCAAGGACTGGACTCTGGGTCCAGTATTTCAAAAACCTTCCATTTAGTTCAGAAGTCTCCAAATAGGATTTAAAAAAAACAACATTGTAGTTAATTAAAACTTGCAGGTTCAATGCAAACTCTATAAAATGTTTCACAGGATGGAAACTGTGAGGACTCAGATTGCAGTTCAAACAGTTTTCAATAAAAGTGATCAATGTATTTACTTTACCAATGGAAATGAATTGTTTGGTCAATATTTGAAAGGAAAACTAATCTCTGTGTCCTTTAACCCATAAACCAAACAAATGCCTCCCTGTGGAGAGAACATGTGCTCCAGCTAGCTCAATTAGCTCAATTAGCTCTGACTGACCACGGCCTACAACCCGATACACACATTATCTGCAATAACACGACACAACCTGAGCTTTAATGGCGACATATATCAGATACAAACATTCATTCTGTTACACATTAACGAGTAAAAACACGTTTTAACAAGTAAAACTCACTTCTCTCAGGCAGGAAACGTGGCGCTCCTTCTTCTTCTTCTCTGGATTTTCTGGCGGATCACAAACAACGTGGCGACCCCTAGTGTCCAGGACCGCGTAACCTCGTGCTATTTATCCGCCTCCTCGACTTCCTGTTCCCAGTAACCACGTCACTCAACTCAGGATGACGCTATTTAGTTCAATTAAGTTAAAGTTTATGGCTACAGAATATTCTGGTAAATATTTGTTCTGGATTCCCAAAGTCCAGTCCTGGGCTCTGGGTCCAGGATTTTAAAAGCTTCAATAACTTTGGTTGTTGGACTAAAAGTGATTCAGCCTCATGAGGGAATCAAACACACAACATCAGAGTCTCCTTACACACCGCGTTGTTCACTCTGAGACACTAAAACAGTATTTCTCACAAACCTATACATTTTAAAGTTTGGACATTAAAGTTCACAGATTTGAGTGGGGATCGAACCGCCATCCTCAAAACTTCAAACTCATTTTCTAACATGTCTAGCTGTTGAATTTGTGACTTTGGCACAGAGCTTTTGACTGTACACTTTTGCACATGTATTGAACCCCCACAGCCTCCAATCACTGAGAGTTATTTAACCTGAGACAATGAAAGAACTCAGGACTCACACACTTCCTGAAGGATTGAACCTACAACCAGCCAGCGCTCTAACACTGTGAGCTATTTGAGGTAACAGACTGTGCTTGGCTTTTCACTTTTTCTTTTGGAGACCCTCAAAATCAGCAGAACAAAACAACCCAAAGAAAGCTGTAGGGGGGAATTGAACCTCTGCCTCCTTGGACTAAAACCTCCCTCTCTAACCTTCAGGCCATGAGTTCCTATTGGACAGGTGAAGAAGAAAACCAAACTTTATCTTCTACCTGTGATTTCCAGTTGTTTTTTTAAATTCTATTCAATAAATGAATTCCTTCCTCAAGTCATCATAGATAAGGGATAACACACAACAAGGTCCCACAGGTGAGGTTTGAACCCTTGGCATTGGTTTACAGGGTAACAGCTCTAACAGGTGAGCTAATCAGACATTCAGTCTATTTCTTGGACTGAACACTACTATAGCTGTAGTGGCCTAGCTACAGTTTCCTGTGTTTATCTGTCCAGTCAGCTCCATTATCTACTCAAATAAGTCCAAGAGAACCGGGATGTGTGTATGAAGTTTACTTGGATATATTATAAAAGTTAAATAAAAAAACAAAATTATATATAAGAAGAAAAATAGACGGCGACTATAAAATATTACAGTAAATAAAGGGAATTATGTTAACAGGTAAAATATATATATTAGGTCAGGAAACTTATCTGAAGTATGATACTTCAGCCACAATCATATGTCATTAACTAATAACATCATTTGCCATAAACTTTATAACTGTGCTGTTCTTTACATTAACACATCAGTTGTGAAGATCCCATCACATGGCTGCCACACTGACACTAAATCTTCTTCTTCTTCTTCCTCCAGGAAGTCACCAAAGCTTCAGGCTGCCTGTAGTTTTTAGACCATGTTCAGACATATAAATGCACTTTATTATTATTATTATTATTAACCACACAAGATATATTTGTTCACAGATTAAACCTTTATTGCACAACGTGAGACATGAAACAGCAACGATCCACAGTCACAGATTAAATTCACACAGAAGATTAGGAAAACACACAAAAGAGCCAATCAGCTGTTTGATCAGGTGTCAGCCAGGTGTTTCCCATCATGCTCTGGGTCTTGCAGTCGGAGTAGAGGAACTGCGGCGCATGGCTACAAAAAACTGCAGCTGCCTGGATCGCGTGAGGTTGTTGTCGTCAGGGCAAGTCTGACGCAACTTCCTGTCTTTCTAGCAGGCTGCAGTACTGCTAACCCGCCACCAGGGGTTGGGTTTTGAACATTTAATTCACATCCAATAAACAGTTGTTGAGTTTTTATGTCTAATCTGCTTTTATTCAGATCCATGTTGGACAGACTGAAGTGCAGCATGGAGATGATGAACATAAACAGTGCACAGAAACAGGAAACAATTCAAATCACTCTGTAGTTCTTTAACTTGCGTCCACCTCCAGCTTTAATCATTTATTACTTACGAGTTGGACGGGCAGTCAGATAGTTGGAATGCAACCGTACTGTACGAGCTTCACCACAACAGAGCCAAAGAAGATATAATGAAACAACAATTTCAGTATTTTATATTCGTCAATATACTCCTCTCTATCCATAATTGATGCTGTAAATTGCTGTGCCTGCATCGTTCGCCGCATGAGTGATTTTTGTCACACTTTCTTAGGTCTGCCAGCGTTAATGGACACTTCTCAGCAATTTCAGAACAATATGAGGCCTGACATTCACCGAATGGCTTTTCAAGAATGAATCCCCGCGTTTCTGAAGCTCTAGACGGTTGATTTGGGTTAACATCATTAAAAAGAAGGGCTCAGATGACAGCATCAGGAACATTGCCAATTATTAAACTGACTTCTCTGTATGGGCACAGGTACCCGGCCTACTTATTGTGAATCATCTACGCTCTCTGCTGCTAAAAAAAAACACAATCAAAAGCTGGATGGTTGGGTGGCAACAGCCTGAGGGCTACAGACACAGAAAATTGTTGCTTCAAAGACTAGTTTGAACTGGGCAGAGAATATTTAATTGTTAATGGAGGGTAAAACGTGAAAGTCAAAGATAAAGACACCACTTTAACAAAGTTAGCATTAATGTGCGTTTTGATCAAGGTTGTTAACCTCTGGCTGCTCCGTGGCGGTACAATAGCATCAATCTCATCATGTTGAGCATGAGAACAAACAAAACCCACTGCCAGTCTAAATAAAGCAATCTGATATTCCAAGGGTTTAAAAATGAAAACTGAGGATGTCGGTTTCATTACGGCTGCAAATTGGATAGTGGAATGAAGCCATGTGTCGCATGCACAAACATATCGCCGGCAACTCGCAACCCGCAAAACATTTGGGCCTCATCTGAGGGTTTTCATTAATGGAAACTCGAGGGAAATCTGCTTGTTGGCTAGATTCGTCTGACTTTCAGCCATATGCAGAAATGTTTACAACTCCGCAGCAGAGAGAGAGAGAGAGAGAGAGAGAGAGAGAGAGAAAGGGGGGATTCTCACAATGCCCGCCGCTGACGGCTTCATTAAAGATGCATCCTGTTTCTGTCTGGGTGCCTAAAGTCACAAATAGGAACTCGGGGGAAATCTGACCAAAATAGTTCCATGTGTTGGGTTTTATGGGAGACATATCTTCATCTGTTTAAGGTGCAACCTTCCGATCGGAGCAGAAACATTCGCTGCTCTCATTGTGACGACAGATACTTGGTCTGGTCCGTGCTGTCGCAACTTCCACGTGACATCGTTTACTGGTACACTTCCCAGTTTCTGCTACTGTGCTGCACATTGAACAGAAGCAATGTTAATAGATCTTTTAGAAATGTCCTGGGTAATAACAGATTACAAAATCTGCTTTGCCTTTATACTTACACTACTTAGAAAATGATAAAAAAAAAACAGCACAATTTGATAGTAGTTTCTAGTTAAACACAGCTGTGCTCATTGTCTTCAGTGTGAGGGAATGCACATTTCACATTTGGCAATATTACTAAGTCACGTGTAGAATTAAGCAAGACATTTAATATAAAACTTTTCCTTTTTTACTTATTTACTTGTCTAATTAACTTGTCAAATAAGGATTTTTCATAGCCCAAACACAGTAAAAACAGTTAAATCCTCTCTCTCTCCTTTAGAAAACACAATAAAAGGAAATAATAAAAGCCGGGCAGTTTATTTTCCCTTTTTTGGACCATGCTTTGTAGGTCTGACACAGATATAAAACCCCAAAAAATATCTACTACAGTCAAAGAAATGGTACGCTCACTGTATGAGTAAACATCCACGAGTGCCCAGATACTTCATACCACACTGGCATCTCCTCAGTTAGATCTCCTGTTTCATTGTGCACATAAAACCACGACTCAGGGGAAATCCTTTGACCATCAGAGTCATTACAGGGGAGTGATTAAGAGAAATGAGCAGCCGTCGACCGAACATCTGTGACAGCTCTGTTAGCCTTTTTTGGATCCTGCGAGGGGGAACCTGAGTCAAAGTCATCACGTCCGCCAGCTGTCACCACCGGGCGCGCACACTCCTGAGGTTGGCTACTGGGGTAATTTTTGATGCTGCCATTGGTGTCTGTACCTCAAGTTCAAAAATCTCAGACTTCAGCATCGTTTAAGATACTTTCAAACTAAAAAAGAATGATGCCTTTGGCTGCAAGTTTGAGCCAAATTGGCAGGATTGCAACCATTTTGTAGAATAATAACAACACGATCCTTTTGGCTTTTACAAAGTCGGGATTGAAAGCAAGACGTCCCAGTTGGCTTCAAAAGGCGGATTAAAAACCAGCCGAGCCAAAAAGCAAACTGCGATCGGGGTCCTACTTTGGATTGACCTGCTATCCATATTCCATACTCACTCATTCCATGTTTTTTTATGGCACTGGAATGAAAGGATTTAAGTGTTGTTTGCTTATATCTGATTCATACAACAGACCTTGAGCGAACGCCGCAGTCCAGTGGGTGTCGTAACGGACAAAAAAAGTCTTTATGTCTGGCCTCTACACGCCGTCCCCCCCGTCTCTGCCATGCTTTCACAAAGAGGCCTTCAGCCATTCAGCGTACCTAGTCGGGCAGAATGATCTACGCTGTGATGTCTCTCGCCTTGCCGAGGTTTTTTATTTGCATTTGAAATAGCAAACTGAAAAACACAAACCTGAGGCAGAATCAACACCAATCTTCTGGCAGCTGCTACCTTGCAGAGAGCTCTCTCTGGATTCAGGAGAGGACGAGGCCAGATGCCAGAGGAGAAGCCGCAGACAAAAACACTGTCAGAGTACTGAGGTACAATGTTCAGAGGAGCAGCAACTGGGCCAGAGGGTGGCATTTTGTAAAATGCACCTGGATTCTCCCCTTTTGACTTGATATTAAGATGCTTTTTAAATTCTGTACAATCTGTATTTAATCTAATAGCAGTCAAAGTTTCAGAAATGTAGAAGAAATTTATTTTACTGCTTTGGTGATCACAGGTTTAGATTTGACTGAA